TGTGTGTGTGTGTGTGTGTGTGTGTGTGTGTGTGTGTGTGTGTGTGTGTGTGTGTGTGTGTGTGTGTGTGTGTGTGTGTGTGTGTGTGTGTGTGTGTGTGTGTGTGTGTGTGTGTTTTGTTTTAAAGGTGCTCTTGTGTTGTCCTTGTTCAGACGCACTGCTCTTTGCCTCCTTCTGCGTTTGTGTTGCTTTTGATCCAGCATTTGCCTCTCTTTTTGAGGTGTTCCTCTTTTCTCCTATGCCTGGGCAGAAGGTAAAACTTCGTCCGCTACCTTGGTTTTATTTCCGTTTTCATTGTTCTTTGCGTCCTTTGTCGTTTCTCTGGGTTTTGATCAAGCATTTGCCTGTGTTTTTGAGGTGTTCTTCTTTTGTCCTGTGCCTGGGTGGAGATAGAGGTCCGTCACCTTGTTGCTTTTATTTCCGTTTGCATTGCTGTTTGCAAGCTTGTTCGTGTTTCTTGGCAGAGCATTTGCCTATGTTTTTGGGCTGTTCTCCTTTTGTTATGCCTGGGTAGGAGAGAAACTCCATGACCTATTTTGCTGGTATTTCTGATTTCATTGTTCTTTGCCTGCTTCTGCGTTTGTGTTGACATTTGTTCCAGCATTTGCCTCTCTTTTTGAGGTGTTCCTCTTTTCTCCTATGCCTGGGCAGGACATATGCCTGGGCAGGAGGTAAACCTCCGTCCGCTACTTTGGTTTTATGTCCGTTTTCATTGTTCTTTGCGTCCTTTGTCGTTTCTCTGGGTTTTGATCAAGCATTTGCCCGTGTTTTTGAGGTGTTCTTCTTTTGTCCTATGCCTGGGTGGGAGATAGAACTCCGTCACCTACATTGCTTTTATTTCCGTTTGCATTGCTGTTTGCATGCTTGTTCGTGTTTTTTGGCATAGCATTTGCCTATGTTTTTGGGCTGTTCTCCTTTTAATTTGTTCTGCCTGAGTAGGAGAGAAACTCCGTGACCTATTTTGCTTGTATTTCTTTCTGATTTCATTGCTCTTTGCCTCCTTCTGCGTTTGTGTTGCTTTTGATCCAGCATTTGCCTCTCTTTTTGAGGTGTTCCTCTTTTCTCCTATGCCTGGGCAGGAGGTAAAACTCCGTCCGCTACCTTGGTTTTATTTCCGTTTTCATTCTTTGCGTCCTTTGTCGTTTCTCTGGGTTTTGATCAAGCGTTTGCCTGTGTTTTTGAGGTGTTCTTCTTTTGTCCTATGCCTGGGCGGGAGATAGAACTCCGTCACCTACATTGCTTTTATTTCCGTTTGCATTGCTGTTTGCATGCTTGTTCGTGATTTTTGGCATAGCATTTGCCTGTGTTTTTGAGCTGTTCTCCTTGTCATTTGTTCTGCCTGAGTAGGAGAGAAACTCCGTGACCTATTTTGCTTGTATTTCTGATTTCATTGCTCTTTGCCTCCTTCTGCGTTTGTGTTGCTTTTGATCCAGCCTTTGCCTCTCTTTTTGAGGTGTTCCTCTTTTCTCCTATGCCTGGGCAGGAGGTAAAACTCCGTCCGCTACCTTGGTTTTATTTCCGTTTTCATTGTTCTTTGCGTCCTTTGTCGTTTCTCTGGGTTTTGATCAAGCATTTGCCTGTGTTTTTGAGGTGTTCTTCTTTTGTCCTATGCCTGGGCGGGAGATAGAACTCCGTCACCTACATTGCTTGTATTTCCGTTTGCATTGCTGTTTGCATGCTTGTTCGTGATTTTTGGCATAGCATTTGCCTGTGTTTTTGAGCTGTTCTCCTTGTCATTTGTTCTGCCTGAGTAGGAGAGAAACTCCGTGACCTATTTTGCTTGTATTTCTGATTTCATTGCTCTTTGCCTCCTTCTGCGTTTGTGTTGCTTTTGATCCAGCATTTGCCTCTCTTTTTGAGGCGTTCCTCTTTTCTCCTATGCCTGGGCAGGAGGTAAAACTCCGTCCGCTACCTTGGATTTATTTCCGTTTTCATTCTTTGCGTCCTTTGTCGTTTCTCTGGGTTTTGATCAAGCATTTGCCTGTGTTTTTGAGGTGTTCTTCTTTTGTCCTATGCCTGGGTGGGAGAAAGAACTCCGTCACCTACGTTGCTTTTATTTCCGTTTGCATTGCTGTTTGCATGCTTGTTCGTGTTTTTTGGCATAGCATTTGCCTATGTTTTTGAGCTGTTCTCCTTTTAATTTGTTCTGCCTGAGTAGGAGAGAAACTCCGTGACCTATTTTGCTTGTATTTCTGATTTCATTGTTCTTTGCGTGCTTCTTCGTTTCTGTTGTCTTTGCTCCATCGTTTGCCTATGTTTTTGAGGTGTTCGTCATGTCGGGCGTGTGACCCCAACCAACCCGCTTCGTGAACCTCGCGCGCCGTTTGAAGCCTCGCTTCCAAACGCTCTTCTGACCGACCCCTGGCTCGCAATCCAAACTTTGCCGTTGTGCTGCTCGCAAGGCTAAATGCCCTGGATTAGCCGAAGGATTTGAGCCATGGGGGCCCTTCTAAGGGAGCATAGGGCACCGGGATTCGGTGGAATTTGGAATCTGCCCACTTTGACGCTTAGAACAAAGCAAAAAAGGCCCGACTCAACAGGACGTATAGAACAACGCAAAACGCAAGTTTTAAAACTTCCTCCTCCGCCGGTCTTTGGGTCGGTCGCCCGCTTCTCCCACCCTCCGCCGGTCCTTGGGTCGGCCGCCCTGTTTTTGCAGGATCCGCGTTGGTTCTCGGGGCGCCGGTTGCCCCGGGGGGTCCTTGGGTCCCCCTCCCGTGGGCCTTTATGCAAGCACATGGGGACAGATTCTAAATTCATCTAGGTTTTTCTAGTTGGGGGGGCTGCCCTGCTTGGTCCCTTCCTGGGACCCTGCAGGGGCCCCACAAAACTGATACGGAGTTACAGGTAAACTTAACAAATTTGTATTTTTCTTTCCTCGCTCACTTGCCCGCAGCCGCCTCAAGGGTCAGGAATCCTATCAGAGTGCCCAGCCTAGGTATGCACAGTAGGACACTCTGAGGCTGTACAGTCTGTACATGAACGAAGCCATGCCGCCAAACACCCACACCACCCGAACCCCACATCACCCCAACCACCCACATGACCCGAACCACCAAGACCGCCCCAAGCCACCCGCCCCCTGAGCCACCCACGCTGACGAGCCGCCATCCGCACCGCCCGCCACCAGTGTGAAGGCCCCCCCCTCTCCCAAAAGGCTGCGAACTAGCCCTAGAGGGTGAGGGGTTCAGATGCCTGTATCCCTTTCTCTTGGTTCTTTCAATCCAAGTGATTTAAAAAGTCGTGGTATTCGGCTTTCAATACCCAGTGGATCAAGGTTCAAGATGTCCACATCCAGACGGTGAGGGTTTAAGAGCCTCTAACTCTTTCTGCAAGGATAAGACCTTTGACCACACAACACCCACAGAAATATAAGACCCGCTACTCCCGCTATACATCACCCTTCCCAGCAAAGGCCCCCAAATAGATAAGATAAGACCCACTGCAAAGGAACAAGGTCTAGGAATAAGGTCTGGCAACCTTAAACTGAATATGCAGACTTTTTGCAATAACGTCTGCCCTTAAACCTTACACGAATAGGGCTTAGGAATCAACAGCTTAAGCCACTCAA